ACATCAAGGACTTGTTCATTTTCACAAATACTGTTTTGGTGAGATTCACTGCAGTCTGAACTTTCCACACTCACAGCTGAAGTCGGCCAGCATTTGCGCCGCTTGGCTAATGTTTGGTATTATTAGAATGATGTCATCATGAAGCAGAGGTGTTGTAGTTGCCGACAATTTATCTTAATTCCCATTTCTTCCCATTCTAGTCGTCGAATGACATTCTAGAGGGTGGCACTGAAGAATTTCGGTGAAATGGTATCACCCTGCCAAACCCCTCTCTTGATCTCGATGATCACTTCCTTGTAGATTGGTGAGATCCTGGTAGTGAATCATTAATACAGCTCAAGGAGGATTCGGATGTACTGAATTTAAATGCCCTGTTTGGCTAGGGCTTCGATGACCGCTTCAGTCTCAGTAGAATCAAAGGTATTCTCTAAATTAATGAACGTTAGACAGAGCGGCATGTGGAAGTCTCGTGAAATATCAATGAGTTTAGTCACTTGTGGATATGATCGATTCTGCTGAATCAGGACTTCTTATACAATTATATAAAATAAGTTTCAGTTTCATACATTTGAATTGAAATGTGAACAACAGTCAAAAGCATCTGTTTTTACTATTGGAGGAGATTTCATGCAAGTAAATATCCCTTTTCCACTTTTTTTTTTTAGGTTCTATCTGGCTGTGTTCATTGTCACATGACACAGCCCCCACAGAACTGTGCAGTGCTGAGATTGAATCTGGGCCTCCAATAAGTATTCACACTGTAGCACTGTCTTTCCATTTTCATTGATTTGCTCGAGTGGGCCCAGTAACATCTCCATCGTGAGACTTGTTGTTACTGTGTTTGGTATATCGAATACGTCACGGGTAGCTTACCAGGCTTTGCTGTGCAGGCCAGATACTCTAGGTAGCTTGCCAGGCTCTCAGAGAGCGGCAGAGGAATCGAACTCAGCTTGACCGGGCTGGCTGTGTGCAAGGCAACTATTGCCCTATCTGCCTGTTGTCTGTTGTCTACAAGTTATTCACTCAAGTCATCCTGAATAGGATTGGAAGAACACTAGATTAAGGACAACCGTGCAAACAAGTCGGGTTCCAAAAAGGATTCAGCATAATCGTCCATATCCACATGATAACCAAGTTCATTGAGGTTTCTCAGAAGTTCAAGATGCAGCTCTGTCTAATGTTCATTGATCTAAAGAAGGCTTTGATTCTGTTGACTGAAGTGTCATCGAAGCCCTAGGCAAACAGGGCATTCAAACTCAATACATCAGGATCCTCTGTGAGCTGTGTTGCGGATTCACTACCAGGATCTCACCATTCTAGAGAGATGATCATTGACTCATGAGAGGCGTTCGGCAGGGTGATACCATTTCACCAAAACTCTTCAGTGCCACACTCGAGAATGTTAGGCGACAACTGGAATGGGAAGGAATGGATGTAAAGATAGACAGTCAGCAACTACACTACCTCTGCTTCGCTGATGACATCATTCTAGTTACACCAAACATCAGCCAAGCAGTACAAATTTTGGCGACTTCGACTGTGAGTGTGGAAAGGTTGGAATACAGCTAAATCTCATGAAGACAATGTTTATGAGAAATGGTCTCGTTCCTCATGTTCCTTTCACTCTCAACGGGATGGACATTTCCAAAGGCAACAGTTACATGTACCTAGGTCAAGAAGTCAACATGACGAATGACCTGGCACCTGAGTTGCGCAGGAGGAAGAGAGCATCTTGGAACGCCTATCAGAACGTCGAAGAAATAACTAATAGGAGGAAGAAACTCCAGCTCCGGGCCCATCTCTTCAATTCCACTGTTCTTCCTGCATTAACATACGTCTCAGAGACCTGGGTCCTAATAAAACAGGATGAGAATGCTATTCGATTCTCCCAAAGAGGAATCAAAAGAGCTATGCTTGAGGTATCATGCTTCACTCGAATGAGAGAAAGAATCCGGACTTCCGACCTCTATCAACGGTCAAGAATCAGGGATACTCTCTTGTTTGCCAAGGCGTCGAGAATTAGATGGGCTGGACACATAATGTGATTTGGAGGCAGCCGCTGACTAGAGCCATTACTGACTGGATTCCATGGGATATCAAAAGATCGCGTGGCCGACCACCTATGAGATGGTCAGACTTCTTCGAAAGACCTTGACAGAATGGTTTGAGGCTGCTCATCGTCCTAGAATGAGCAGACAGCATTGGGCTACACTAGCAACTGACAGGGACAAATGGAGACATTACTGGTACCCACATGAACAAATCGATGGGTGATGGGATTTCAACTGATCAAGTGATTAAGTGATGCATGCTCACATTTCAACTCAAATGTGTGACACTGAAGCTTAGTTTAAGTAATTGTATAAGAAACCTCGAAGCTAATATTATTTAGATTTATCTTGGCTTATGGCTTTCAATTTAAGTTTGGCAATGTAATTAAAAATACCCTTTAACCCATCGAGAGAGACTGGGGGTGGAGTGTGGGGTATTGGGGATGGTGGGAGGGAAACTGGGGACATTGGTGGTGGGAAATGTACACTGGTGGAGGAATGGGTGCTGGATCATTGTATGACTGAAAACCAAAACCCAATTATAAACAGCTTTGTAATGGTCTATCTCATCAATAGTCAGTTAACAAAATTAAAAAAAAAAAAGTAATATATCGTTCATGCCTGCTTCAATCAGCTTAGTCAATGGCTGAATAAATTGCAGTAGACCTACAATAAAGCAATGTGTATAGGGGGTGGAGTGATAGCACAGCAGGAAGGGTGTTTGCCTTGCACACGGCTGACACAGGTTTGATTCCCAGCATTCCATATGGTCCAGCACCGTCAGGAATAATTCCTGAGTACATGAGCCAGGAGTAACTCCTGTGCATCACCGGGTGTGACCCAAAAAGAAAAAAACAAAACTATCCTTTAAGTATTATCTACCAGATAAGAGCTTTCCAGTGTTCTTAGGACAAGCTTTCCCCAGGCAGTGATGTGTCCCTAAAGGAGCTCTGAGGAGAAGGTGAGAGAGCAGAAGGAAAAGGCCCGAATGTGACTACAGCAGGAACAGGTTTATGGTACTGAGCACAGGGTTTGCTCTTGGTGGACTGGGTGAGGTTTTCAAATAAGAAAATTCAAGGATGTTTCCAACGACTTTCACACGTGCTGATAGAAAGTTAAATAAATGGTGTCTCAATCAGAGAGCTGTGGACACTTATAATGTCATTTTAAATATTTTTTTTATTTATTGTTTAAAATTTGGGGCTGAAGCAATAACACAGCAGATAGGGCGTTTGCATTCCACGCAGCCAACATAACCTACCCGAGTTCAATTCCTCCGCCCCTCTTGGAGAGCCCAGCAAGCTACCGAGAGTATCTCACCCGCAACTCAAAACCTGGCAAGCTCCCAGTGATGTATTCGATATGACAAAAAAAGTAACAGCAAGTATCACAATTTGTTGTGAGATGTTACTGGTACCTGCTTGAGCAAATCGATGAACAACGAGAGTACAGTGCTATAGTGCTACAGTTTAAAATTTTATTAGGGCACAGCAATTTAACAAGTTTCTCATAGTAGAATATGTGACCCAAACTGTTCTGGCACCAGTGCCACCCCCAGTGTCATTGGCGAAAATTTTTGAAATCTCAATGCAGCACTGAAGACTCTGGAAAGGACAAATTGTGGACCCACTTACACTCCCCTGTGGAGAGACTGAAACTGTAGCGCAGCCTGGAACTTCAGTGTATTTTGGTATTTAATTAATTTTATAGGGCTGGAGCAATAACACAGCGGGTAGGGCGCTTGCCTTGCTTGCAGCCGACCTGGGCTGACGTTGGTTTGATTCCTCCGCCCCACTTGGAGAGCCCGGCAAGCTACCGAGAGTTTCGTGCCCTCATGCAAAGCCTGGCAAGCTAACCATGACATATTTGATATGCCAAAAACCGTAACAAGTCTCACAATGGAGATATTACTGGTGCCCGCTCAAGGAAATCACTGAACAATAGGAGGATTGTGCTATACAGGGCTATAATTAGTTTGGTTGTGCCACACCCTACACTGAACATGGCATTCTGTTGACTCGGTGCCACACCTGGCAAACACCTTAGAGCCTCCATTATCTCTCTTACCCCAACAGCACTTTCCTTCTAATTCATAAACATTCTCTACTTTTTCTCAATGAGAATGGGATAGGGAACATAAAGACAGTTAAGGAAGGGCTTGCTTCCTGTGAACGCTACTTCCCTAAACATGGAGCTTCTAGTGACAGGTTAGAGCTCTGGGGAATCCCATCACTGCTCTGAAAATCCCTTCTATCCAGCCCCACCCGACCTCCCGTCAGTCATTCCTGGGTGGGTCTCTCCAGACCCACCTTATGATGCATATAAACACGGTGCTGAGTGCAGGGCACACAATGCGCTAGTGCCAGCCTGAGTCTGCATCCTTCAAGGGAAGTAGCTCACCAGCAGGACCAAGCACTGCACCAGCCAGAGTCAGGATCAAGGTGAGTTAGTGATCAATCTGGGGCTTGTAGTAACTGGAGGCAGGATTAAGGGACAAGAAATCAATCAGGGAATTTGTGGTTCTTGTGGGGTCAGAGCATTATTTCTACAGCTTCCTTAGTGCCTACTGTGTGCAGGGTCTAGAGGGGCTCCGTTTGACCATCTGATCTCTATTTTCTTTATACTATACCCCAGAGTTGAGTGACCATTCCTCTGATGTAAAAGGGGTCATTTTCTCATCACAGAAAGTGGTGATCACTTGAAACAGGGGATTCTAATAGATGAAGCCCCGGAGGTTGGTGGGCTTATTGGTGAAAACAGTTTGGAGGGCCTTGAATCCAGTTGGGAGCTGTGTTTTCACAGAGATAAATCACAGAGAAAACCATATTAAATTTCGAACAGAGGCTGAGTTTGTGATTTTTTAATTTTTTATTTTCTGGCAGGAGAAAACTTTAGGAGTTCGAACTTGTGAGCAAAAACGTCCTTGTCCTGCCCTTTCCACACCTAAGGATGGAGGAGGTGTCGGCAGCCCTAGCCAAAATGCATCCAGAACTCATCTGTCTCGTCTGCCTGGACTACCTTAATGACCCTGTCACCATCGACTGCGGCCACAACTTCTGTGACTCCTGCATCCGCATGTCATGGAAGGACTTGCAGAACACATTCCCCTGTCCTGTGTGCCGGCAGGCCCACCAGGAGAGGCTTGTCAGTGCCAACGCCCAGCTGGGCAGGCTGCTGGACCTGGCCAAGCTCCTGCACAGATCTGAGAGCAGCGAGATGGCGTGGGCAGAGGAGCGCTGGTGTGAGGAGCACAGACAGGGAGTGAGTCTCTTCTGCGAGGATGACCAGGAGCTGGTATGTCCTCTGTGTGCCCAGGGCTCTGCCCACCAGGGCCACCACGTCAGGTTGGTGGCCGAGGCAGTGGCTCATCACAGACAGAGGCTTGGTGACTATATCGAGTCCCTGAAGAAGCAGCTGGTAGAGGTGCACAAGCGAGAAGTCGCCCAAGATAGAAACCTCCTGCAGCTGAGAGCAGACGTGGAAAAGCACAGGAGTCAGCTGGCCTCGGAATTTGAGCAGCTCACCCAGTTTGTGGAGCGTGAGCAGGAGGTGGCACTCTGTAGGCTGGCAGAAGAGGACAAACGCCTGCAGCAGCAGCTCAGGGCCAACCTGGAGGCCTACTCGGACCACATCTCGGAGCTGAAGAACCTCAGACGGGAGGTGGCGGAGCGAAGCGTGATGTCGGAGGAGATGGTGCTGAGGGGGGTGAGGGACCTACAGCAGCGCTGGGCGGGACTGCAGCCCCCAGCCGTGCAGCTCCTGCGCTTCAGGTCAGTGACCTACAGCCTCCCTCCTCTGTGCTCAGCACTCAACAGCATCATCCAGAGATTCCGAGAGAGCATCAGCCTGGACCCCGACACGGCCCACCCCAGCCTGCGCGTGTCCCAGGACCTCTAGTCGTTGACCTGCATGAGGAAGAGGTCCAAAGGGGATGGGGACCCCGTGCCCTGGGATGACTACACCCCGCTGGTTGTCCTGGGCCGGGAGGGCTTTTCCTCTGGCCGCCACTACTGGGAGGTGCAGGTGGGCACCAAGCCCGAGTGGGCCGTGGGCGTGTGCAGTGTCGCCCCTTCGGCCCAGACCTCACGGCCCCTGGTGGCTCCCAAAAGATGCTGGACGCTGCAGCTGCAGGACGGCGACTACCTGGCCATGGGCTCGGGGACCATGCCTCTGGCTTTCAGGGACCAGCCTGCTACTATCGGCGTTTACCTGGACTGGGAGCTGGGCCAGCTTTCCTTCTACAACGCGGCCGACAGGTCTCACCTGCACTCGTTCACAGAGCCCTTTGCTCAAGAGCTCAAGCCCTACTTTCGCGTAGGGCCTGACTGCGCCCCTCTCTCCGTGAGGGCGGGGAGGGCTGGGGAAGGGTGAGCACAGCCTGGGTTTCCCCCCTGCCTCATGTGGACTATAGGTTATCTGATATATATGAGACTGGTTGCATAAGTCTTCAATTTTGGGGCAGCTTAGGGAGATGATCTCTTCTTGTAACTCTTTGTAATATATCTCTGATTATTTTGCACCTATATGCCTGTGTCTAAGAAAATACACTTTTACTGCAAAGAAAAGTCTTACTTCCTTGCAGCAGAAATATGTTTTAAAAGGCATTACACAGATCTCACGGGCTGGAGCGATAGCACAGCGGTAGGGCGTTTGCCTTGCACGCAGCCAACATGGCCGACCCGAGTTCGATTCCTCCGCCCCTCTCGGAGAGCCCGACAAGCTACCGAGAGTATCTCGCCCGCACGGCAGAGCCTGGCAAGCTCCCCGTGACATATTCAATATGCCGAACACAGTAACAACAAAGTCTCCAATGGAGACGTTACTGGGCCCACTCGAGCAAATCGATGATCAACGGGAGGGCCTTTTACTTTTACACAGGTCTCATATCCATTCCTGCTTATTACTTTATATCTACAGTGTATTTTATTAGCGGTATGCACATTTGACAAATTTCCCTCAATTATATAAAACCTAGGAGTAGTGATCTCCATGCCTGGAACAAGGAATATCCTCTAAGCCCTACTGAGTATCAGGTTTAAATACTAAAATAAGTATATAAAAAAGTTAAAAACAGTTCTGGATTTAGTTTTGATATATTTTCTGTATTTACAAAGAGAATTTGGACTAAAATATCACATGCCATCATAATTACACCACTCACTAATGAGTGGTGCAATTACACCACTCATTAATGATTGGTCAAAGACCTTTCTGTGTAAACATTCCTTCTTCTGTTGACATGTATGTCATAAGCAGGCTTAAAGCGCTCATTAGAATCTTTCTAATATTCTTAAATATTCTATTTATTAATTGTTTTCAAATTTAATTCAAAAAAACAAATATGCTAATTTAACTTCAACGCATGAAAAATATGTCCTTCATTTTGTATTTTTTAATCACTCTTTTCATTTTCTTTTAGTAAGAATAGTATTTCGTGGGCTCACTTGGTATGAGTTCCTCAAAAGGAACACAACTAAGATGGGATTGAAGAATATACTATCAGGATCATGATCACGATCATCCTGTTGTTCGTTGATTTTCTCAAGCAAGCACCAGTAACGTCTAATTCTTCTTAGCCCTGAGATTTTTAAAAGAGCCGTTTCAATGCTCTTTCAGGATTAGAAGAATGAGCCCCATCATTATTACTGGTATTTGGCATATTGAGTATGACCCGGGAAGTTTGCCAGACTCTGCCGTGCGGGCAGGATACATTAGGTAGCCTGCCACGTTCTCCAAAAGAAAAAATAAGATGCCGCGAATGAGGCCGCACACTTCTGGGAGCTGGGTTTTATAGTCTCTGCGTCTTGACCATTGATGGGACCAATCTGGCGCTGGCGGCAGCTGGTGGGTGTGACGCCTACCTACTGGAAGATGAGGGGGGTCTGGGTGGAGAAGGTCCAGTCCCAATCCGAGTAGGCTTGGAGACCTCAGCCCCAGGACCCGCATGGGTTCCTCTGCCAGTTCTTTCATGAATGAGGCCCGTCCGGACGAGTAGAGAGTGGTCCCAGCATGGCCGTGGCTGGCTCCGGAGATCCTCAGCTGCTGGGGCTCTGCTCGGGGTGGGGGGTGGAGAGAAACTCAACCCTCCCCCGTCGAAGGGGCCCCAGTGAGGACAGCAAGGCACGGGGACAGGAGACTGCGCTGTTCTCCTCCGGGAGCTGGGTTTTATAGTCTCTGCGTCTTGACCGTTGATGGGACCAATCTGGCCCTGTCGGCAGCTGGTGGGTGTGATGACTACCTACTGGAAGATGGAGGGAGGGGTCTGGGTGGAGAAGGCCCAGTCCCAATCCGAGTAAGCTTGGAGACTTCAGCCCCGGGGACCCGCATGCCTGGGTTCCTCTGCCAGTTCTTTCATGCTTGAGGCCCGTCTAGACATGTGGAGAGTGGTCCAAGCATAGCTGTGCCTGACTCCGGAGGTCCTCAGCTGCTGGGGCTCTGCTCAGGGTTGGAGGGGGGGGGAGAGAGAAACTCAACCCTCGAAAGGAATACAACTAGGGTGGGATTGAAGAATTTACTATCACTAGCTCTAAAATAGGAAGACTCAATATGGTCAGGGTTGGAGCAATAGTACAACAAGTAGGGCATTTACCTTGCATGAGACCTGGGTTTGATTCCCAGCATTTCATATGGTCTCCCAAGCACTGCCAGGAGTGATGACTGTGCATCACCAGGTGTGACCAAAAAAGGAAAAAAAAAAAAAACTCTTAATACTCAATATGGTCAGACCCAACTTTGCAGGCAACCAACCTAGATTCGATTTCCAACATCTCATATGGTCCCCTGAGCACTGCCAAGAGTAATTCCTCAGTACATAAACCAGGAGTAAACCCTGTGCATTGTCCGGGTGTGACCCAAAAAGCAAAAAAAAAAAAAAAAAAAAAAAAGTCTCAGGCTTTTTTTGACAATACCATAGCAGTGAACAGACTTTTAGCCAGGTAGAAAAGTTGTCTGTAGGCAGATTAGGAGAAAACCTATAAAGTTACTCTAAAATTATTGTGAAGGCAAGTACTTTCCTACCCTGAATCTCTAACTGTGGTATTGCTCTCAGCTCTCATCTTGGAGAAGTCTATGCTCTCTCTGAACGTGTCATTCTCTTTCTTTCACTTCTAGTAATCTCTAAATACAACTATTATACAACCCAAAAAATAGTGATTTGGGGGAAATGATATAAACATAAATTGAAAGTGGTTTAAGAAACTATATCAATTAAAGTTTGTTGTTCCTAGCTTAGTCCTGGATTCTGTTCTTTGGGATCCTTACTGACAATCCCTGTCATCATTTAAAGTGATAGGGTTCAAACCCAGGTTCTGTGTAAAGCTAGTGCTTTACCCACTATTCTTTCTTTCCAGCTCTTAAAGAATTTCTTGATGCTAGCCTGGAGTCTATGGAATTAACAATTTATAAATCCAGTCATGCTTGTCTCCATTTACCTATTCCTCATATTGTGAGGTAGAGAAAGAACCTCATTAGCACCGTGACAGGCTGCATTTCAACAAACGAGCAGTAGGCCTAAGTTTCTGTCCCCCCTGTCCCCCCAACACACCAAAGAATTTCCTGAAACTGTCCTTGGCCAAAGCTAGAAATCCCTAGGCACCTTTTGACAGTCCTGTGAGAAGTAGGATATCTCTGGGCACAGCAGAGGGGCATGACCAATTAGCTCACAGACTTGTGACAGTTTCCTCAAATTTTGGGAAAACTGCCACCTTTGCTTCTATAACCATAAGCGATAAAGTGTCTTCTGGAACTTTCTGTGGAACAGACTTGCACGCTGCTGACCCGGGTTTGATTCCCAACATCCCATATGGTCCCCCAAGCACCACCAGTAGTAATTCCTGCGTGCAGAGCCAGGAGTAACCCCTGTGCATCACGGGGTGTGACCCAAAAAGAAAAAAAAAAGGAAAGAATTGTCCAGGTGGGTCAGATTATCAATAAAATTGTCCAGGTGGGTCAGATTATCAATAAACTCTTTTGAGTTTATTAAAGCCCCAGTGAGGTGTTGGCAGCACCAACAATTCTCAGCCTGGTACTCAAAGGTCTTACTTAGTCCCAACTCACTTCAGCACCGCCCCCATTGACCAAAGAAGATAGAAAGGAAAGTGGCAGAATCTCACATGATGGCTAATGGTTCTCTTCTCAATCTTCACATAAGTCACTTTCAACAGTTCAAGTTAAAGATGGTGATATTAAATTAGAAAATATATGCAACAAGTGATTGTACTTATTTTGGAAATTTGCATAGAAATGTATGGCATAGAGATATCAAATAAAGTACCTACATCTTCAATTAGAGTTTATTATACTGTGTTTAGTAATATAGATAAAGTTCTACAAAGGACCTTGAGTTGCTATTTTGATACAGAAAATGGATGTTAGCTAATGCTGAAATTTGAACCTTTTCTCTATTACAGAGGCACAAAGAATAAAATCACTAATTTTATTTCTTTTTTATTTAAAAAAAACTAAATACTGTGGTTTACAAAATTATAATAAAATAGTTGTTTGGGGCATTTAGATTTCCAATACCCATCCATCCATCAATGTACATTTCTCAACACTAATGTCCCCAGTTTCCACCCCCAATATAGATCCCCCTTTATATTCATCAACATAAACGAAAGGTCATGTTTTGGGGAGCAGGGGTTGTTGACATTGGAGTGGGTTGGACCACATCTAGAGGTATCAGGGATGGCTCCTAGCTTAGAGATAATATGTGGCAGTGCTCAGAAGACCATATAGTATTATATGCAAGGCAAATACTCTTCCCACTGTATGATTAGTCTGGCCCCAAACTTTCATGACTCCTTGTAGATCTTAATATTCTGGAGTTAAATATGATGGAAACTAATCCCACCAGTATGACACTGTGTGGGACAGGGTGTGGGTATTTTATTTTCTAT